ATGGCCAGCTTCTTCAAAAGTTTTCCTGTTTTTAAAAGTNGTGTAGTCGGTGAAACGGTGGGTGCTGGTTACTACTGTACTATCATTGAGTTTTGACAGAAAAATGAAAACAGGCTTGTTGTACAGTGAAATTAAGTGAATAAATTAATATTATTATGCTTATTTGACTTGAAAAATAGTTTTACCAGTAAAAGTTCTGCATGAGTACTTCCTGGGCAACAAATTGCAATTTATTTACTGCAGGCAGCCTTAGGGTAAAGCGGATGCTGACCACAGATTGGAAGTGGGTGGCCGGCAGCGTTGAAGACCCACTTATCTAGTGGAAGAACGCTTTCATCCTCAACCATAGTCAGGTAGAGGTACTTGAAGGTGGCGCTGATCAGCTGCGGATCCTGGTGTGCGTAAGGTTCAAATTCAGTAGGCACTTTGTCTACCGATTTAATCGTTCCAAATCCGCCATTGGGCGTTCTCAAATGCGTTTTAATTGCCAGTGCCAACTTCCAAGCTCGATCACGCCACACCTCTTCACCGGTCAGTCGCCAGAGGATGAAGTAGGTTTCCGCCAACTCAGAGCTGAAAAAGAGGTTACAAGTTTTAGAAAAAAAAGTGTTTTCAATGTTTCTATTACGCGCCACTTACTTGGTTTGGGAAAAGGAAATTAACGTTTTGAAAGCCCAGGTTCTGTTTATCTGCCTCAGCAAACTGGTATTAGGAAGCAGTTTAGTCTGTGTCAGCTCGGTCAGGTGAGCGCAAGTTTGGCTGAGATTTCTCGCCAGCTCCCACTGATATTTGGCATTAGCCTTGTCGTTTTTGAAAAAGCTATTGTTCGCCACCTTCTGCAGCTCTCTGCCGGCCAGCGCAAAGAGGGCGCCCAGCTGGCAGCTGGAGTGCTCAAACAGACTTGAAAGAGTGTCATTTCGAAATTGGTTGTGCTCCAGGTCGTACGCTTTAAGGAAGAGCATCCCACCATCAACTGGCTGGAACATGCCCGCCTTTCGGTACGACTGCAGCACTATGTTTCGGTACTGGTCCAGGTTGACGGCTCTTCGCTTTGGCCAAAGAACGAAAGAGCGAATCAAGTTGTAGAGAAACTCATTGGAATCGTCCGTCAGCAGAGCCAACTTGCCATTCCACTTTCCCTCTTGCTCAACGTGAATCGAGTTGGGAATGAGACTGGTCCCATTTGGCTTTTGAAGAGCGTTGACGACGTTGTGAATTTTAAGCAGACGAGCTCGCCAATTGGCGGCAGAGGCAATTGCAAAGTCAGCGGCAGCAGCGAGGACTGATGAAAGATCAGAAGGGGAGGCGGAAGGGGAAGGTTTTGGAGTGGAAGCGGAGAAAGTGCTGTTGATAAGATCGGCCAGCAGATACAGCTCCGGCTGCTCGTAAGCTGCTCGCGACGTGTGAATGGTCACTCCGTCACAAACAGCGCTTTTAGGATGGTAGAATCGCGTCGGCAAACCTAATTTAATTTATAGTAAGTTAAAAAAGTGTTGAAAACAACTGCACTGTTTATCAACCATCAATTTTACCTGTGCTAGTGTTGAAGGCGCCCTTAATACTTTCGCTCACCTCAAGGGCTTTCTGCAGAAACAGCTGATCACCAGTGAGAGCATAAGCGGAAAGAAAGCCGCCGATGTGCTCCACGATCGTCCTGAAAACGTTCACCTCACTGTCGATATTGGTAAAGTCCATCTGTTCAGTGATCCACTCTCGAGACTGGCTGAACTGCTCCTTCAGGTTCATTAGGTGCAGTGTGGACAGCGAAGAGACGATGGTGGCACCGGTACCGGCGCCCTTTAGGTGCAGCGGTTTCTTCTGCATTGGCAACACCGAGTAGTCGCCCCAGGCGTACTTTTTGTAGCAGTTCCAGGCTTCTAGGGTCATGTTCTTAATAATCTCTCGGCGATAGGCCAACTCATTTGGTGTAGGGATTTTTATTTGAGGAGGTACTTTTGGCAGGGTGAAATTTTTTGCTTCAGTTGGCTGAAAATGAATCAGCAGAAGGAGTAAAGCGGCGGCAAAAAGTTGATAAAAGAATGAAAACAACATCATTTTGAGGCAGTTGGTTTTCTCTGTCTGCCCCGGCCAACACTGTTTGCTTTGGCAGATTTTGTCTGAAAAATAAAATTAACTACAACTGACAAAAAATTTCTTTTTATACATGGAAAGCGAAGACGCAAACAAACACAATTTTGAAGTTAGCTACTTTTCTAATCTGATCATTGGGATCAGCCGTCATCACCATCATCAGCTACTGCCAATTTGAATGTCTTTTTAAACTGTTTTGACGTGTTTTCCGTGTTACTACGCCAGTGTTTCTAAGAAACGACAACAACAAAAAAAAGTTGAAAAGTAAAAACTGTCAAGATTGTGTTTCATTAAACATGACAGATGATTTGCCTTACAAATTTTGAGGTGAATAAATTTACCTCTACAACCCTGCATTTTAATGTGATGCACTGTTAAATTACCTTTGTGTTTTTTTTCACTGAGCCCCAGAAAAATATGTTTTTAGCAAGTGTACAAACACGTTTTTGTGCAGAATTAAAAATCAACTGCTAATCTTGCATTTGTTTTATACAAAAACTAGTATTTTTGTCAAAGCCAAAATCGCTTTTTACACATGGATAATGCAGGCATGGATTGGATAGAACGGATGCTGTCCACAAATTGGCAGTGGGTGGCCAGCAGCGTTGAAAACCCATTTGTCCAGCGGCACAACACTTTCATCCTCCACCTGAGTCAGGTAAAGGTACTTGAAGGTGGCGCTGAGAAACAGCGGATCCTGTTTTGGCTCTTTTTTGTGGCTGGTGGGCACAGTGTTCACATCGTCGATGGGCGTATAACCGCCCCAGGGCGTCCGTTGGTGAGCCTGAATGGCTTTTGCCAACTTCCAGGCCTTTTCACGCCGAATTGGTTCTTTGGTTAGTCGCCATAGAATGAAGTACGTCTCTGCCAGTTCATGGCTAAAAAAGGATTGTGGTAGAAAGGATTAAACTAGAAAGAATTGGAAAAAAGCCAGTATATTACTTAGTTTTTGAAAGAGAATAGACCAGTGAAACGGCCAACTGCTCACTTGCCGAAAAAGTCTGGTTCAAAAGACTTTCTGCACGCATTGGCAACAACTTTGTTTTTGTGCTTTCCAGCAAGTATGTGCAAGTTCGAGTGATGTTCAGTGCTAGTTCCCAGTAGCGTCGAGCGGCTTTTTCCGCCTCCGTAATTCGGTTATTTTTCGGCACTTGAAACTGCCTTCCAGCGAGAGCAAGCATGGCGCCCAGTTGACAGGTGCTGGCATCGAGTTGCAGTGGTCCACTGAGAGTTCTCTTTCCAATGTCATACTCTCGAGTGAAGGTAAGACCAGGTTTCACCGGCGACATCTCAAACATTCCCGCCTCCCGGTACGTGTCCACCAGTGACTGGAATAGCGCCAAGTTAGCCACTTTTGTTCGGTCTGAAAGCAGGTACGAGCGGAGAAGATTGTAGAAGATTTGATATGACTTGCCATCCACTGATGCCTTCCGAGTTTGCGAACCCGTTACAGCGCTCTGCGAAAAAGACAGGAAACCCTTTCCGGACGGTTCTTTATGCTTGTCCACAATAAAACTGCGAATCTGGGCAAGACGGGAGAGCCAGGCAGTGCCGGAATGTTCATCTCCGTTGCCACTGCCAATCAGTTCCGCTAGCAGGTACAGCTCTGGCTGCTCAAAGGCGACCTCAGAAATGAAAGTGTGTGGAATAAAGTCACTTTCATCTGTAAGATTAAATTTTTGTTGTAGTACGGGAAAGTAAACCAAAGTCAAAGAAAAAAGAAAAACAAAAAAATATTTTTTTAAAATCTCCACTTACTATTTTTTAAATCGAATTTGCTTTTTAGTGCAAAGGCCACTTCGCGAGCTTTCTTCAAAAAAAAGCTCATCTCCGGTGAGGGCGTAAGTGGAGAGCAGGCCGCCAAGGTGGTGGATGATCGTCACATAGGCGCCAAACTGATTGTCAGCTCTGCTCAAGTTGAGCTCATTCTTGACCCACTCTCGGTCCTGGTTGAACTGCTTTGTCAGGCCCATCAGGTGAAAGGTAGGTAGGAAAGAGACAATAGTCCTGCCGTTTCCACCTTTGTCCCACTCTTTTGTCCGATTTGTCTCTGGAAGCACTTTGTCGTAGCCCCAGGCATGTTGCTTGTAAACGTTCCAAGCGTCAAGGGTCATGTTCTTGATGAAGCCTTGTCGAGAAGCTAGCTCAGTGGCTGAAGGAAGAGTTGTGGGCGTAGTTACATTTTCAGTTTTCACAAAATTTTTCTGAAACAACAGTAAGAGGCTGACAAAAAGAAGAGTGTGGATGATTGAAGCCATTTTGTTGAAACTTCAGCAGAAAAGTTTGAGCGCTGTTATACAGCCCAAAAACAGTTTTCAACTAGTAAACTGCAAAAATCTATTTTTTATACCACCAAATAACTCTTTTTATCTAGCCGAACAAACTTATCAAATCTTACAATCTCTCTGTTTTCGCTAAAACAGTTGATGTCCTTGAAATAGAAGTGTCTATCTTTTTTATTGAACGATAATAAGCTGAAGAAATGTTGATTTATTGAGGTAAAGTGCAGTACATGAACGCAAATACTTTTAACGTGCTAATAAAAGTGATTTAATTACTCGAGACTTTTGGCTTTTTGAAGTGTAAACTCAGCGAAAAAGAAGCGATTATTTTCAGTTACCATGAAAGCTGATTTATATTTTTTGTTAAGTGCCAAATAATTACTGATTGAAACTTGTTTTAATTAATGTTTTATCTTATTTGTGCACTAAAATGAGGTTCGTTTTTTACTTGTTTCAAATTAGTAAAACAACTTGCCGTTTTTGCTGAATTTTGAAATTTTTTTATTCAAAATATCGATACTATCGATGTTTGTATCATAACAATCGAAAATATTTTCACATGTGCACTTTTTTGCACGTGTTTACATTTGACTTTTGTGATTTGTTTTCATCTCTAGAATCGTCAAAATGGAAAAGTTTTTTCGTGGCAAAAAGCGGAAAATCAATGATGAGGAGGAAGAAGGAGCTACTAAAAGTGGTCAACACGACGACGACTTTTCAGCCCACTTCAACGCCAACTTTGAAGCCGCCGACATTGAGTTGCTAAAGGACTCGGAGCGGTGCAACCGAACGCTAAACTGGCCAGCACTGGGTACCTTCGTGGAGAGCAAAGTGGTGGAGGGGCACTTTTCGAAGCAGAGCACAGCACCCCTAGAGAAGCCCTTCACCATCGTCGATCAGCTGCAGTTAAAGTCCATGCTGGTGGAGAACATCGGCAAGACGATGCTATCGGTGGGCGAACAGCAGCCAGCACTGAGTGCCTTTCAAACGGAGCTGCTGGGGCTGATGTCCTCTTATCGGGATATCTTTTACGCGGAACGGAACGACAGCAATGGCGAGCAGATCCGCGTCGCCTACTGCCTCCACGCGCTGAATCACATACTCAAGACGAGGTCGCGCATTCTCGCCCACAACTCAAAGATCAACCAGGGCGCTGCTGCTACTGCTGATGGTGGTGGTGGTGGTGGTGCCCTTTTGAAGAGCGGTGACGCCTACCGAGACCAGGGCCTGACGCGGGCGAAGGTGCTCATTGTGGCGCCCTTTCGGCAGTCCGCCTACCAGACGGTGAACACGATGATCAGCCTGCTCTTCGCCGACGTGAAGGACACCGGCAGTCGGCGCATCAACATCATGAACTACAAGCGCTTCAAGAAGGAGTTTGGCCCGCAGGAGGACGAGCCGCCGGTGGGGGCGAAGAAGCCGGACGACTACAAGCGCCTCTTTGCGGGCAACATCGACGACTCCTTTCGCATTGGCCTCTCGCTGACGAAGCGCTCGCTGAAGCTGTACACGGACTTTTACTCCTCGGACATTATCATCGGCTCGCCGCTCGGCCTGCGTCTGGCGGTGGGCGCCCAGGGCGAGGCCGAGTACGACCACGACTTTCTCTCCTCAATCGAGGTGGTGGTCCTCGACCAGGCGGACGTCTTTCTCATGCAGAACTGGGAGCACCTGCTGCACATCATGGCGCATCTGCACCGCCGTCCAAGGGCGGACCACGGCGTCGACTACAGTCGCGTGAAGCTGTGGGTGCTGGAGCTGTGGGCGAAGTACTACTGTCAGCTGGTGCTCTTCAGCGGCACCGCCTCCAGCTCGCTGGTGAACGCCTTCTTCCACCAGCACAGCGCCAACTGGGCCGGCAAGGTGGTGGGGCGGGCGGAGGTGGGCCCGGCGAGGGCGGCCATCAACCACGTCTTCATTCAGTGTCCGCAGATCTTCCAGCGGGTGCCGCTGCCAGACGGGTGCACGCTCGCCGACAGCGCCGACGCCCGCTTTGACTTTTTCGTCAACAGCATTCTGCCCAAGTTCAGGGACAGTCTGAAGGTGCGCACGATGATCTACGTGCCGTCGTACTTTGACTTTGTCCGCCTGCGCAACTACTTTCGCCGCGAGGACGTCAGCTTCAATCAGATCTGCGAGTACACAAAGGCGGGCAAGGTGGCCCGCGCCCGGCACATGTTCTACACCGGCGGACGACACTTTCTGCTCTTCACCGAGCGGTACCACTTCTTCAACCGGCACACCATCAAGGGCATTCGCCAGCTGATCTTCTACGAGCCGCCCACCTACCCGCACTTTTACTCGGAACTGGTCAACAGCATGCACCTCTCCAATCAGGGCAAGAAGCTGCCCACCGACTATGGCGCCATGTCCGCCACGGTGCTCTTCACCCGATTTGACGCCCATTCGCTGGTCAGCCTGGTCGGCAGTCGGACGGCCGCCAGTCTGCTGTCGCAGTCCGCCGCCTCCACTGATGTGCACATGTTTCTCACTGACAATGTGGGCTAGTGTTTTTTTGAATTAATAAATTTTTTCTTTTATTCTTTAAAAGTTTTGTGATTGTTGAGATATTCGAAAAAATGTTAAATCAGCCGAATTGAGTCACAAACTTTGTGGAGGGCGCGGGAAAACTCACATTTTCAAATTGAAATTCAAGACGTTTTAATTCTTTCTAATGCATATTCTACGGACTTTATATTTATAGCTTTATTCCTAAACTACCAGGAG